TAATAATAATAATAATAATAATAATAATTACTGCAATAATTATAACACTAACATAACGATGAGAAACAATGATGGTTATTGTGTCAAATCTTCTACTGATTATCGATAAGTGACTATCGATCGAATATCCACCTCCGGCTAAAAAAGTTAGCCACTTACCTTTCTCATTTTCACCACACTTTTACTAGACAGAACTTTTCAACGAAAAAGTGAAATTATCGAGAAAAACGATATTATGACAATAATAATAGTAATGATAACAATAATGATGCAAATAAAAAAAGAAAATATACTGGGAAAATTATTAGTGATAACAATTCTCTATTGCATGCACAGTAGTAATAGCAAATATTCGCGAAATGATTTCTCACCTTGCACACATTTGTAGACGTCGTGATTTCGCTTTTCATATTGTTTTGATTGTATTGCTGATGCGGGCTGTAACTATCATCAACGTCGCCGCTTTCGAACGCCTGCGGGAAGCTGGTCGCGCTTCCGACCACACCACTACCGTCTTCGTGTTCAACTACAGTCGGCATCGGTGGCGCGTTTTCCCAAACCTTCTTCACGGATGCGATTTTCAGGTTGAGTTCTGCGGTCGACGGCGATATCGTGCTCTGGCCGCCGGTCATATGCATAGAACGCGGCATGCCTAAGCTCTTACTCTTGTCCTCCGTCAGCTGCGAAAGATCCGAGTCAAATGTAAAGTCCAACTTCATGTCGGCATTGTCCTCGTTCTTGTTGAACGATAACGGCATTTGGATAGGTTCTTGATTCTTATCCTTTATCAGATCATTCGGTTTATTGGGGAAAGCTACGGAAAGCGCTGGTTGCTGCGGATGTTGTTGCACCTGACTGTTGCCCTCTTCTTCCATTTCCGCACGCTTCTCAGCTCGCTGCTGCTGCGTCTTAATGTGATTCGAGAACTTTGATTTCACCGCCAGATCCGTCGGTCCGGTCGTCTTTGTAGTCTTTGAATAATTCGTGTTTTCAAAGATCAAGGTCTGTACGGGAGGCGAAGATACATCAGACACAACGTTCTTCTCCGTCAGAGTCTCCTTCAGATTTTTCACTGTTTTCTCGCCGCTCGGGGAATTTCGTTGACTACTATGTCCGGAATTAGCCTCATTACCTTCATGACTGTGATCGTTTTGAGTTGTTAAACTCGACATTAGCTGAATATCGGTAGGAACCGCGGATGGAGAATTCGAACGCAATTGGCTAGTAAAAGGTTTATCCCAAGCGTTGACCGCCGGTGGTGGCGCAGGATTGTTAGACGAGTCCTTGGCATAATTGTTTCCAGAACTATTCAGTTTATTCATGTCGCTCGCGTCGGTCGCGCACATCTGCTGTTGCTGTTGTTTCACCAGACGTTGAAAACGCGGAGCTAGTCTTGGATTTCTGGAATTTCTGTTGTCATATTCCCGCTTCTGCGGTATGTTTGCCGGTTGAGGGATATTCTGACCGAGTAAGGGCGGAATATTTTGTATTTGTTGCTGCAAAACTTGCTGCGATCCGTTTGACTTTGACTTCGAGCGATCGCGTTCGCGATCGCGATCCTTCTCCTTGTCTCTCTTAACCGGTTTTGCTTCTTCCTTCTGATTATGTCTCGACTCTTTCACGTTTTTCTTGGAACGTACTTCCTGGAAACCGTCGGCGTCTACTTTATCCTCCGCCGCCGCATTCGCAGCGTCTTCGGTACAACTGTTGGTTTCCATTTCTGAATCCATTAGCTTCTTATCTTTCGTCTGAGACTTTTTATTGAGATCATTCAACGCTTGATTCACGAGGTTCGGATCGGCCAATTTGATTTCGTCAATACGATTAACCATACTATCTTTGTTATTCGACTTATTTGAGATTGCGCCGCTGTTAGTCGAACTCTGACTTCTAGATCTTCCGCCGTTCTGTATCTGCGTATTTTGCATCAAGGGCGGTATGCCATCGGTATTATGATTTTTTTGAGCGCCGAACCCGGCGTTCTGCAGATTCCGTTTCTCCGCTCCCGGTGCTCGCGACGCTGGATTGGAAGACTTGGGATTTTTCTCACGTTGCTCTCTGGTATTCGTCGCAGATTGTTCGTTCCTACGCGAATGCGGATTTGCGCCGATAGCATTCTGATTTGTAGCTTGAATGGCTCGTCCACCAAAATGTTTGTTGCGACTACTGTTACGAGACTCCTTGTGATCCTCTATATGCTCCTCACTATTTTCCGACGTAGTTTCCCAATCCTCGTTACCTACATCTGATTGGGGCTGCTTCGACACATTGCTGCTACTGCCACGCGAACGAGCTTCACGATTATCTCTTCCCTGAAAAATAAAAACGCGCATTATTTACATTGTATATATTAGATTATTATTACATTATTTATATTATTATATCAAATTAAAAAAGAAATAAATAAATATATGTGAGAAATATATCTAACAATAAGATATTTATCAAATCTTATATATTTAATTTAACTTAATTTTTTTCTGTATAACGTTTTGTATTATAAAAATGTTCTACTTAAATAAATTGGTCAACAAAAAGCGTAGATATGTATAATGTATTAGCAGATGAAAGATTCTTTCTCTCTAGGCTCATGTACAAAGCACTAGACAATAATATATAAATATATAAAATTATACATACCCTTCTGCTTCCACTGCGAGTTCTTTTGGAACGCGACTCTTCCTTTCGTATTTGCGCCTTTTGGGACAAAACGTTGGTGACTTGATTCGTTTCTTGTTTATTAGCGGGCTGTTGAGTTTGTTGACTCGGGGATTTATTACGTCTGCCTGTAATACCCGCCGTAAGCGCTTGTTGCTTCGCTATTATCTTGTCATCGGTAGATTCAACTGGTGCGGATTGCAAGAGGTTTGCCTCTTTCTCTGAGGTTGGTGTCGGTGGATTTTGCCGTCCGGCATTCTGTTGATGTTTCTCGTCCGCATTACGTTCCGATGAAAACGGACTCTTGCTGGACGGCGGTCCATAACCTTCCATGCGGCTGCCCGTTGCTGTGTTCCGAATGCGGAAACCGCCGCCTCTACCACGACGGGACGGTTCGCCTGACGGTGCGAAAGCCTCATGGCTGGGTTTTCCGTCGTACCCTCTCTTCTCACTGCGCGCTTGAGAGTATGTCTCAGTGCCTCGCTTATCGTCTCGTCTTGACACCTCGCGATTGCGCTCCTCTTTCTCGACCTTCTGGGACGGCTTCGGAGAGCGAGCGGATCGCTTATCCTCCTTTTCAGACTCAGTGGAGCCGGATACTTCATCAGCACTGTTTTCGGAATCGGTATGCCCATAAGAACCGGCGGACATTCCAGACTTACCAGCAGTAGATCGTGGCCCGCCTCTTCGTCCTCTAGACTCCGGACCACGCCAACGAGTGAAAACACTGAAGGTTCCACCCCATTGACGTCCGCCACGAGATTCACGAACTCTAGAGCTAGAGCTACCGCTGCTTGTTCTATTACGTGTATTCTTCTCTCGCTTCTCATCTTTCACTTGTTCTTTAACATCTTCGGTAATAGCTTCTTCTCTTTTTTCCAAAGTTGGCTTATCCAATAAACTTTGCTTAATTTCATCGTTTTCTTGGCCTTCTTTAGCAGCCTCCGCTATCTTTTCCTCTTCCTTTTCAAAAGTTGGCGATATCGCGTCGACCCACGCCTTTGGTGAATTATCACCTCGCTCAATCTGTCTACTCTCCGCATTGGGTGAAATTCTATTGAAATTCGCACTGCTTCTCTCTGCCTGCTGCTTTTGAAATCTGGGCGGTAGATTATTCTGAAAATGTCGAGAAAATCCCGGTTGCTCGCGATCTCGCGAGTCTCTTTGATCGCGGTTGCGATCGCGTTCCCTTTCGCGCTCGCTGCGCACCGTGTCCTGTTGCCGTAAGAAAGTCTGTCGGTCATTTTGACGAAAGTCTGCCAGTGCTTGATTTCGGCTTTCTCTTGCAAGATTATCGCGTCCAGACGCAATAATTTTCTCATCCTTTCCTTCGGATGAAGTACGAGATCTTTCACGTTCTCTATTCTCCTTCTCCCTTTCCCATTCGGGTATAGGAAGTGGTACAGGTGGGATGCTGATCAAGCTTTTAGACTCGCTCGACTGTGTGCGTTCCTCGTCTTTGTGCTTCGCCTGTTTCTCTTTCATCTTTTGTTCTAAATCCTGTAATTTCTTAGCTGCCGCTTGTTTTGTCGATTCTTGAAAACGTTTCTCTTCTTCTTCCTTGCGCAATCGTGCACGTTCGATAACGAACGCAACTTCAACCTTGATTCTGCGTCTTTCGTTCCACGTCTCGTCGTCTTCGACACCTATTTGTGATGAAAATATGCATCATGAATGAGATTTAAATAGATCATTGAGCTTGGTATTCTTTTTCTAATAAAAGTGAACTAACCTCTCAAAGAATGTACAGAGTGCAATTGCGATTGATTGTTGTAGCCGCTACTACCACTCGCGCCATTTGACCCACGATAATCGCGATTCATAGAAGGTTGAGTCCAAGGACGATGCGACGGATCTCGAAGCTCCTTCGAGTCTCGAGGATTATCTCGAGATTTCTCCTTCTCCTCCGCGGCATTATTATCGCCTTTTTTCTCCTTGAATTCTTTTTTTTCATCATTTTTCAATGGTTCTGATTCGGATTCATCATCGCTAAAGGCCAATTTTTGGTTATAATCAATATCATCGTGCGCAGCCCATCCTGCATCATGTGAAATATCATCCATACGAGTAAGATCTTCTTCCTTGATAATGGGTCTAGTCAGAATCTCTTCCTCGGTTACACGGTCACGTTGAGGAGGTGGAAATCGATCCAGGGGATGATTAAATCTGGGTCGGGGGCTGTTGGATCCAGAATTTGATGAAAATTGCGGAGGAAATCCACCAGGAAAATTTGATCTATACATCTAAAAAGATTATAATCTTGTTACCACAAAACCAAAAAAAAAAAAAGAAAGAAAGAACTTACACAAATTCAAATTTTCGAGATCTTAATAATAAACTTACAAATGGCGGGATAAGACCCCGAAAGTGATGCAAATTCGGCCCAACTTGATGGGTACCGGAAGAAGGCGCAGAACCTTGGTTATTCACGGAATTATGCTGGCCTGCCGGGCCCGCGCCCATGTTGGGCGATTGGCCCAAGTTCTGCCGCCCTCCACCGGGTCCCTCTTGGGTATGTCCTCCTGAGACAGGTATATTTAAAGGGAGGCCCTGGCCCCCCGGAGTATTCCCATTTCCGGGACCAGCTGATGTTGCTGGCGCTGCGCCACTTGCCATGCGACTCCCGCCTTGAATCCAACTTCCTTCGGCTACAAAAATTTACACAATCCCAAAATTAATATCATATACTTTCAAAAGCTAAAAAATTCTACCATCATTAAATTTCGGGAGACTTACTCTGTGGACGCAGGCTCAGCCCTGGACCATACTGCGCACTTAACTCTCGATTCGATTGCTGTTGATTTCCCGGCATGCCTCCTACATAATTCATTCGTTACAGAGAAGTAATATATAAACAAATAATATACTGTGTATTTTGATACATAATAACAGTAATATATCAATACTGATAAAGAAAGAATCGATATTTAACGAGATACATGATAAAAACAAGATACACGCATGCTCGCACGCGGTTGTTCCACAGGCTGTGCATAAAACTTTCCCATGTATATATCATGCTTTACAGATAGTGTCCTAAATATGGTAAAGAACTGAATAAAACAAATATATAAAACACACAAAAAAATTAAGTTCTTGAATATTCCTAAAATAAATCATTGGATCTGTCTTTTATAGCTGAACTGGCTGTACTAGTTCAGAGTTTATCTTTTTCTCTCCGCATTGAAAGAGAAAGATAAGTTCTGAACTAGTGCAGTCAGTTTAGCTATAAAGAACAGACCCATTATCTAATTTATTGATCTAGAATAAATATATATATATAACTAAGCTACACGAGTTAAGGTGTACTATAATTTCGTTTTATGTAAATATATAATTAAAAGAATTACAAATGTTGCCAATATACTATCAATGTAAATCTCAATAAATTATAATAATTCTATGATAATCATGTATGTTTAATGATATTTAAAGATATAATATTATTCAAATTATTATTATTTTTTTTTTTTGTATAGAAACGCATATAAACTTATTCAAGAAAAAGACTAAGTAACATGTTTCTTTCGCATAACAGAATGTCATAATGTAATGCTTTTCATAGTGCAAGTTTTAAAATATGAGAATAAAAAATTGGGAATACAAAAACACACTTATAAATTGATAAAAGAGATTCACTCAATCAAGAAGATAAAAAGTCTACATCTTTTAACATTATGTACCAATCTCGAGTCTTTGTATATGCATTTTTCTCTTTCTAAGTTATATCATAAATATTAAAATATATAAATAATGATATATGCGAGACTTGGTACATACTGTAATACTATCTAACAATTTTCTACAAACATATAATACATATAAATATTTATCGTCAAATCAATCTTCTACATCTATGTCTAAAATTACAACATACGATTTATTAAAATATTTTTAACAAATTGCGTCAAACATATAAAATCATAATTTAAGATTTTATTGCTATTGATGACGTAAAAATATATAAATTGCTTTGCACACAAAAAGTTATTTGTAAAATCTTGATAAATAAAAGACATAAATGGTTCCATAAAAGTTTTCCATTTTTACATGAAATGTCAGGAAATATTATTAGTTATATAATTTTTTTAAATAAAGAAAGAGAGAAAGTATTT